GGCGCCGAGCCTGTATTTAGACTTTCATCAGATTTTTAATAGTTGGTAGCAAAGTAAATAAAATGCCTTGTGATATCAACAAAGTAAGTGAATAAGCACAGTGAAACATCTAGGTAAGTTACTCCTAACAACACTATAAATGTGACAAATTTGCCCATTTTGAGTGCCATCACGAAATTGATCAAGTATATTTATATAAAGTACTTTACAAATGATGTAATCCCAAACTCTAAGTAACACGAAATAATTAGTAATTGATTTTGCTTTCCCCACCTTAAATTAAATGTCACTTTCCTCTTTAAAAAAAAAAAATTCTTTTAACAGCTATTTATGAGCATGTATTATGTGTGACTTTGTAAAATTTTCATTAATATTTTTAGCACTTCCAAATGTATTGGAAATACAGTTTTATTAAATCAGGGTTGGCAAGCTTCTTTTGCAAAGGATCTGATATACGTAGTTATTTGTGGCTGTAGACCACACTGTCTTTATCACAACTATTCAACTTTAACTCTTAAGCAAATGAATGTGGCTATATTTCAAAGAAACTTCATTTACATAAATAGGTAGAGATCTGGATTTGACCTTTGAGATGTAGATTGCGAGCTATTGAATTAAATCAGAAATTAGGCCAGGCATGGTGGCTCACACCTGTTATCCTAGCACTCTGGGAGGCTAAAGTAAGTGGATTTCTTGAGCTCACAAGTTCAAAACAAGCCATGGCTCGGCACTTGTGGCTCAAGTGGTTAAGGCGCCAGCCACCTACCCCTAAGGTGGCGAGTTTGAAGCTAGCCCGGGCCTGCCAAATAACAATGACAGCTACAACCAAAAAATAGCCAGGTGTTGTGGCGGGCGCTTGTGATCCAAGCTACTTGTGAGGCTGAGGGAGGAGACTCGCTTGAGCCCAGGAGTTGGAGGTTGCTATGAGCTGTGATGCCACGGCCCTCTACCCAGGTGGACAGCTTGAGGCTCTGTCTCAAAAAAACAAATAAAGCAGCCTGAGCAAGAGCGAGACCCTCTAAAAAATAGTTGGGCATTGTGATGGGCTTCTGTTGTCCTAGCTACTTGGGAGGTTGAGGCAAGAGGATTGCTTGAGCTTAAGAGCTTGAGGTTGCTGTGAGTTGTGAAACCATAGCACTCTACCCAGGGTAACAAAATGAGACTCTATCTCAAAAAAAAAAAAAAAGAAAAAAATTCAGAAATTAGACTCTGACAATTGCTTATCAACTGATTTGTACAAAGTTTCAAAATGGTGGTTAATTTATTAGCTTAGCTTTACTACTTCAGAGGGAGACTTGTCTGTCTAATTGATGCAGGTATAATTATGTAACATTTACATAATAATTTTATTTTAAATGTTCTTAGAAAAAGCTTCTCCAAAAGCAACCAAGTTGACCTATTGGAAAAAGTACTTCATCTTATTTTGAGCCAGAATTGGTCTGGATTTTGTGCATAGTGCAAATTCAGTAAGTTTCTTCCCACTAAGCTGCCATATACCCCCAGGATGTCCATAAAATACAATCATTACCTGTTCCAGATTCTGTAACAATTGCCGTAACGTAAAATGGTTTAAGCAATTCTGAATAATAGAGTTGGAAAACTTTTGCATTTATAATTTGAGAAACACAACCATGTTTCAACTGAAAAATAAAGAGAAGGCATAAAAAAGTTAGAAATCCAAGGGACTTTAAAAATATAGAGTTTTAATGTGGATATGTGACACCTTGCCTTTACTGCCCATGGCTGTACCTCACAAAATTGTTGAAATAACTGAAGAATGAAAGGAGGAGGAAGAGGAATAGAATATTGACATCAGCATTTCAAACAAGCCAAAAAGGTAATCTATATTTTATACATTTTAAGAAATTCTCCTGGAAACATTGTAGATGGGAAGAGATTAAAGATTGGAAAGTAATGCAGAACAATGTTTTAAGAGTAAGAAATTAAATCATCTTGAGAGGCACTATACACAGGTGGAACAGAAGCACTTAACAAATACGTAACACCGAAACCAACACCTATTAAGGTAAATTGTTCACTTAAAATAAGGAAAAACCCATAGATAATCTTTCACCAGTAACATCAATAATTAGATTAATAGATTTAGTTGTATTTCAAAATAAAATGTTTATTAATTCCAAATTTAAAATGTTAAAGGGAATATATTAATTCATTTGATCCTCAAAATTATTGTATGAGTTAGGTACTGTTACTATTCCTGTTATATGTATGAATAATCAGAAACTCAAGAATGTTAAGTAAATTGTCACTGTTAAAAGATATTGGTGCTAACTACATATTCTGAACCAGACTATGTGCTCCTCTGGACTATCAGCTGTTATATCACCAACAACACAAAGATCCATTTCATTTTGCCTAATTATACTGTAGTCAAATTAAAACATCATAATAAGAGTGGCCAGTTTGAGGGAAAAGTTTTTTCAGTAATGTTGACGTGAAAGAATACCACTTCAACTTTTTTAACCTTCCTGTTTTATAAAGATAAGTTCCTGCCTGTCTTGGCCAATTATTACTATTTACTTAGAGGATGCTCACCAAATTTGGTGAGTAATGTTAGGACAACCAGACCTAAAATATAAACTATGAAGCATGTATAAATTACACTTTTGGAAGTCCAAGGCAATCTGAGAGATAGAGTTGTTTACCTAAGGTTAAGGAAGTAGATGGAGAAAGCAAACGGTGGCTTCAATTATACACTGCAAACCTGAAGTAATAAATACGGATGCCCTGTGTTGCAATAAGTTGTTTTCATAAGAGTGAATCTAGGATGCAAGGTGAGTAATATCACAGACTCACTTATTTAAAGGATGAATAATTTTCCAGAGAAAGATCAGGGAGGCTACTGAGACAGTATAGAAGACAATAAAGCCAATAAGATATTTAAAAATCTAAAATTCCTGTGAGTTCATAGGTGGATAACAATTGACATGGTCTGTAGAATAAGAGACTAGGGTTAAACATTATATTTTCCTCTCACTCTTTACCTTATTTAGTGGTAACTTCCATTATCAAGAAAATGAAAATAGTGGTAAGTCCCTTCTATAACTGGAACCAAAGAAAGAGATCTAATGAAAAATGAGCAAGAATCTTTTTTTTCTTTGGAATAAAGATCTTGGTCTGTACCTGTGCAATAAATTGCTCACATATGTCATTGTCATCTTTCTTGCAGTTGCTCGAAGGAATAGTTTCTTTGCACACCCGGATTTGGGCCTTCCCTTGCACAGGTTGACCATAGGTGTACCTAGTGGGAGAAGGTGTACTTATTATCATGGATAAACAATAGTACAGCAATATTTTATGGTCTTTTTCAGAAATTACATGTGAAATCTATACATCATGAGTACCCCAATCTAAAAAATTCAATTAGGAATCTTCACTGATTGGTGTGATTTTTATCCCCCTAAAGAATTTAGGTTAAAAAAAAAAA